AGAGACAAACAGAGAAAGACAGAGGCACAGAGACACACATACACAGATACACAAACAGAGACAGACAGAGAGACAGAAACAGAAACACAGACAGAGAGAAAGAGACAGAGAGACCCACAGAGAGACACAGACAATGAGAAACAAAGAGAAAGAGAGACAAAGAGACACACAGAGACAAAGAGAGACAGAGACAGGAAGAGAGACAAAGACAAAGAGAGACAGAGAGGCAGAGATAGAGGGACACAGAGAGAGACACACACACAGAGACAGAGAGACAGAGACAGGAAGAGAGACAGAGACAGGCACAAACAGAAACATAGAGACACAAATATTCATTTCCTCCCTTTTCTTCCTACTTCATCTTGTCTCAACATACACACACACACACACACACACACACACACCTGTATATATGTATGTGTGTATATATAAAACCGGTTGTGGTGGGGGGGATGAAGGGAGCTGTAAGGGTAGGGAAATTGTGACCATTTTGTTTTTATTCTTTGTCACTTTAAAACCAAATAAAACCAAGCCAAAATCTCTTCACACCACTAGATGGCGGGAACGACGAGAAATTAAATCCTTTCCTAAGGACTTGGCAGCTCTACGGAAGTGGAAAAACAAAAGTTATTTACCCAAAAGTGAAGGAAAGACAGTGAAAATCTGTAATTTTGTTTATGTTTATCTGTTTTCTCTTCCTTCCCTTTATTTTCTCTGTAGCTCTGTTCTCTTTTCATTCTTTTTCCTATCTGTCTCACTTTCTTATTTGTCTTCCTTCCTTCCTTCCTTCCTGACTTCCTGCCCTCTTTTCTTCCTTCTTTCCTTCCTTCCTTCCTTCCTTTTCTATGACTGTCTGAGAGTCCTCTAATATGACACTGCACTGAAAACAGAAACATTTAAGTAAAAATAAAATGTCATTTTCACTTTATTTGAATAACGTTATAAATTTTAAAAACTATTTCAGAATAAATAAATAAAATAAGTAAAACATCCCAAAATGTTAGGCTACCATCAATAGTTATTTATGCAAGATGACTAATTTCTATCTGTAAATTACCTTTCCTTGGTTTTGCTTCATTTGCTTTGGTGAAGTAAATGGACTGTAAGGTACAGTACAGAAATGTGTTTTCTTCCACCAGAGATCATAGGCATAACATCTTAGCCTTGGAAATATGAAATATTGATACCATAAAAACAAAGGCAACAAGAAAACCATAGAATCATCACTTAAATAAAACAATCAATGAAGGACATAAAACTTTATATGCAAAGGTTTCTAAACATGGAAAGGATTCACAGGTAAAGACAGACATCTGGGTTAATGAGGTAAAAACTAATGTCATTTGTTTGGTTGGGACTATGAAGTGCAAAGCTGTCCGCTGTTCATCTGTTTTAATATAGATGCATTTTAGGACCATAGCTGAAAATATAAGTTCAGCAAGAAAAAAAGAAAAGAGCATATTAACTGATTAATGTTACAAAAGGAACTCTTAGTCTGGAGAATTATGTAGTGATATGACTCTGTCAGGGAACAAAGTATGCTCGGCATGACCACCCAGAAACTGGAGATCAATGAATATTCAGGTGATACCACAAATTGACCTAAGATTCAGAGATGTGAGGAGACAGTGCAAGGTGACCTGAATAGAGCTTTTGATATTTCCCTTTCTGAGATTGAGAATTAACAGGAAGAAAAGTAGAATATTGGCTACTCAAACATCCCCAAAATGTGAATCAGAGATAAAATGTTTTTTTAAATGATATATGCTATAATGAAAGGTGAAATTTTATTTCCTTGATCATTAGATAGAGAGTGTTCAAAAACATACAAAAACAAACAAACAAACAAACAAACAAACAACTGGTTTTAGAGACAGGAAAGACCTGGGTACAAATCCTGCGTCTGACACATAGTAACCATGTGATACTAAACAAGTCACTTAATCCCTCTAACCCTCAAAGGACTCATTAGAAATATTTGAACCACCTACCTCTGCTTAGCCTTTAAAAAACTCTATGTATTTTAAAGTGATATATAAATAAGAGTTGATGTTTTTACATTGTCTACTTGGTTAAAGAAAGAATTTGGGGTGGGGTGTTGACCTTTAATTTCATAGATAGAAAGGGGAACTTCCTACATAGGTAGTCAGCTTATTGATAATTCATGAGTCTTAAAGGATTTCTTGGGGACATTGAGAAGTTTAGTGATTTTTCCATAGCACAGAAACTAGTAGGATTCAGAGGTAGGACTGAAAAGTCTTTAGTTCCTAGGCTGGCACAATAACATTTAGTCCCTATTAGAGACACACATAGTTATTAATATAATTACTCAGAAATACTATCACTTCACAAAACCTTTTTCTCTATATATAGCCTAATGTACAATAAAGTATTTTTTTCAATTTATTTTTTTTAATGAGGAAAAGATTGATAGAGGTGGTGGTTTCCTTTGTTGATGATTCATATTGCCATTATTCTTCCAATTGAAGATCAAGTATCCATAGAAATTATTGTATTTCCCAGAGTATACAACTATTAAAACAATGTTGTCCTTTGAGAATGAAGCTTCTAGTATACCATCAACAAGGTACTTATTTTTTTGAGGTCATGAGGACAGATTCACATATTTTTTCACAATGTCCTTTAACATTAGCTTCTGTGATTCAATTCAATAAATAATTAAGAGTTTCTTACGCATATAACCAGGTTCTAGTGGTACAATGAGGAAGAAAATTTAGGCAAACCTTGTCCTCCAGAAGTTTATAATCTCCTTGGAAAGTGATACAACATATGCAAAAATAATTACAAGATAGAATGTAATAGGGGTAAAAGAAAAATCTAGACATGGTGCTTTTGGAAAATTTGAGAAGGTAGAAGACATTTCTGGCTGGTAGAGCCAGGGAAAGCTTCAAGTACATGGATGCACACAAAAAGACTGCTGAGAATTACAAAACTTTATAATTGCAAATGATTTCAAAGGATCCCCTAAGCATCATATCTGGCAAGTAGTCATCTGGTATTTGCACAAAGAATTCCAGAGTGAAAAGCAGACTGATAGGAGAAGGTGAGTGGTGGTGGTGGAAAGGGCTCCTCACTTCCAGTTAGCCCGTTCCACATTTGGATAGCTCTAATTAAGTTCTTTGCATCAATACTGAATTAACCTTTTGTAAATTCCAACCACTTATTCTTGTTATGCCTTCTGAGGCCAAACAGAATGAGTCTATCCCCTTTAAGAAGAGACAGTCCCTCAAATATTTGAATACAGCTATCAAGTTCCACTTAGATCTTCTCTTTTACAGGCTTCTCATCCTCAGCTTCTTCAAATGATTCTCATATGGCATGACCTTGAGACCATTCATCATTCTGTTTGACCTCCTCTGGACACTCACCAGCTTGTTAATGTCTTTCCTAAAATGTGGCACTGCAAGTTGTACACTACAATATAATGGTTTAACGAGGTTTAACACTGAGCACAGTGTTACCATTACCATCCCACTACCAACAATATACCCCTACTGGTGT